CCTCAGTGGCTTTCCTCAGCCACAGAGGGAGATTCCACAACCCCTTTATTGTATTCCTGACTCTAAATCCAGAACCACGTGGCCAACGCTGCCAAGTTCTGCTGCTTGATGGTGCTGGAACTCCTTCCCTCCTTTTGTATCCTTAATGGTTTCCTTCAACTGCTTAAGTTTTAATTCCTTTTTGCAAGTTGGGAACTTCCTTGGGCGGGGTCTTGCCCTGAGGTCATCACTGCCTTTACTCTATTTAGCATCAAGCTTTCCCTTAAACTTTATCTCCTTGAGCACTGGACTTGCTCCATTACACTTCTTGGTGCTCCTTTTCTCCTCAAATTGTACATTTTGTATTTCTCTTTATCCATCTTTTTCTCTTATCACGATAGACATCCATGTGAGTGATAACTAATAAAGGCACAGTCAATTCTAGGCTGTCTTGAAATCTCCTACGATGCCATTAACGGAAAACTCTTCACTTTAGCCTCAGGCAGATTTTTTTTTTAGAACAATCTAGGGGAAAAAGCAGCCACATTCTTCACCAAGATACCATTAAGAATAGTCTCTAGGGGGCTGGAGAGATGGCTCAGAGGTTAAGAGCACTGGCTGCTCCTTCAGAGGTCCTGAGTTCAATTCCCAGCAAATATATGGTGGCTCACAAAGATCTGGTGCCTTCTTCTGGTGTGTAAGCAAACATTTAGTAAATAATAAGATTAAAAAAAAAACTCACCGAGTGCTGATGGTGCACGCCTTTAGTCCCAGCACTTAGAAGGCAGAGGCAGGAGGATCTCTGTGAGTTCGAGGCCAGCCTTAGTAAGTGGCCTAGAGATTATTCTTTTCTCTTTCTTTTTCTTTTTGGTTGGGGGGTGCTGGGATTAAAGGAGTATGCCACCAACACCCAGCTCATTCTCCTATCTTATTTCTTCATGTGATACGTGATTACAACTCCATGTCTTTACTTGTCCCCTTCTCAGATAAAAAGTCTCCTTAATGTGCCACCCGGGATGGGGGCAGTGCCAGGAAGGTTACCGTCGACACCACCTAGGCGGCTTGTAAGGTTTGCTTTGAGTGAGGAGACTGAACTTCAGGTCCTAGGTACAGAAGATGGGTTGTGGATAAATCGTGAGAAGGTGGAGAAGGGTCGGTTTGGAAGAAAGAGACAAGGCAAAGCCGAGGGGCAGGGTGG